GCTGCTGCTGTTTATCTTCTAGTGATTAATGGTCGCTCATGGTTCCTGCTGCAATTCCATTAAGATTAGAGACTTAAAGCTACACTGAGATGTTTAGCAGTGGGTCACCCTGGTCTCCCTGCAGTCATATTTCTATATTCTTGAGGAAATGAAGATTAAGTCTTGTTTTGCATCCCATCCTTTTTGCTTTCTAGCTGCAGGGAAAGAGCCCCTTGCAGTCAGCATTCATGTCTGCAGGCAAAGAGAGCCTGACTCTCAGGTCACTGTGCTATTCATGTGCTGTGCAAGCTGTGGCACTTGAAATCCCAGCCCACAGGCGCTCCAATAGTACCATCCCCTGAACACATGCATGTATTCGGAGAACAAAATGCTCTTCCAGGAGGTTACAGGCACCCTTTGACACAGGGCAGAGAAAGCGGCAGGGACTGCTCCAACTTAGCTCATCCCCTCCTGGGGACCAAAGTACAGAGGCAGATCATCTTCTTAAAATGTACAGTTAAATAGAGTCCCAAATGTTTATCTCTGCTAGAAGTAAGCCAGCATGCAGGGAACGTGAGCATGAGAGGAGTGAAGCAATCAGACAGACTCCATTGGGAATCTAGTTACTCCCAGCAGTTTGACTTCTGGGATTGATGGAGCAGAAGGAGACAGCTCTGACCCTAAGGCATCTAGTGTAACATCATCCCTTCACGTCAGAGGATGAAAGAAAGAAGACACCACCCCCCACAACTGATTGCAGAGCACCTTTCAGCCTGAGGGATAACCCTGAACCCTTTGTGGAGATCAGCAATCCCAAGCAGAGGCTGCAGCTTCCATGGCCCTGGCCCTGGCCAGAGAAACAGGCAGTGTGGGAAGCTCACAGGTCCACAGGGCTATGCTGATCTGCCAAAGGGAGGGAAGCCAGGTGCACTTCCCTCCTACCAGAGGGTCACCAGTGGTCCATGTGTGGCTGCCTAGGGACCCCAACTGTCATGTCCCTGCTGAAGCATCACTGCATGCCCATGGAAGCCAATTAACATCAAAACAGCCCAAGAGATAGCTTTTTTTCCTCCAGATCGACCTGATGAAAGAGGTTCAGCAGGTATCTGCTCTCTCCTGGTAGTGGAGAGTTGAGCAGCACGCACTTGTCACTCCGAAGGCAACTCTCAGCGAGCAATTTCCACATCACAAAAGCCGCCACTATAATTAGCCTCCCTTGGCTCACAGTCAGCATTTACGTTTCCTTCCCACCCATCCAAAAAAAACAACCAAAGGCATCTTTGCTCCTGGGTGATGGAGCAGCGTGTTACTGAGAACCAGGAGAGAGGTCAGGGGGATCCTTGCTTGCTCTTTTTGGGTAAACAAGGTTGTCTTCCCCTATAGACGTGCCTTCCTCCTCCTGCCCCAGTGGCCCTGTCTTGGGAAGTTAGCATTGACCCGGAAATAGGAAGGGGGTGAATTTGAAAGGAGAAAAAGCCTAGAGCCAGAGCTGCTCTCTTTTGCTTCCCTGCACTGTGCCTGTGGGGCAGGGATGGCAGCCCCCAGTCTGGCTGGAGGGAGCTATGCTGCCGGCACTGTTGTATGGGAGGCAGGGAGAGAATACGCACGCGTAGTGACTGGAAGAAAAGGTGTGTATGCTACAGATTTAGGAACCTTTATCTTTGGGACAATTGTGTACGTTGATGGAAGAAGTTAGAGGTGCCAGAACAGGCTAGGAGCCAGGGCTACTTTTATGAAACTGAAACCTCTGAGCAAGCCTGGCTGCATGTTGCTGGGACAGGAGCTGTCCCTAAAGAAACCCTTCTTTTATGCTAGTGAGACAAAGACTTAGATGGAAATGATAAATTTGATCTTGTCTAACGATGTTTTTGAGGTGCGATTTCAGTAACTCCCTGAGACAAAGCAAACAACTTAGTAGAAATGCAATGAAGGTTTAGCATTGACTTTCTTAATGTCTCTGCCTACAGTGAAATCTAGCCAGTGTGGAAGAAAGCTCCTTTAATTAAATCCAAAAAGGCTGTATAATCTAAAGTAATACCTACAGCCTTTTGTGTCAGTGGCATGGGGTTGCCTTTGGGTAAATCCATTAGTACAGAGCTCACGTGCTGTCCCCACTGCAGACTTTTCCTGCTTTCGTAACCATGCTGAGCAGAACCCCCTCTCCTTTTGCTTTTGATTCTCTGTGAACTGCGTAAAGCAAGCTGAGAAGGCCTGCCTTGATGCTACCGTGTAGGACACATGCGATAGATATGCAATTACATATATATATATAATATACACAAGATCTTCTCTGAAATCCTCCTAATCTAAAATTCAGTTCAAAAAACAAACTTGTTCATAGCCACAAGTCCCAGTTTCAATTTGAATATGGGCCACACTGTAAAACCTGTTAATCTAGGTGACCACTGCTTCTCTGAGGCAGGCCAAGCACATTATGTTGTGCTCAGCAGCTTGGATCAACCTTGTAATCACTGCAGTGGTGTGGTTCAGGATGGGGCATGAATTTTTAATGTACCTTGAGCCTTTTACTGTCATTTAGACCTGTGAAACCAGCTGTAAAATACTACTCCATCATTTTCCAACTCCACTCCAGTTTGCACAGATGAAAGCAATGCAAGATGTGCAAAAGGACTCTCAAAGCAAAGAGGACCCTGCACAGGAGGACACTGTCCTTCAGTTACAGCAAGGCAAGAGTCTGAATTCCTCCTTAAATCTGGTCCAGTACAGAGTCAAGCCCTAGAAAAGAGGAAATTGTGCTTGACAGATGCAATCATATGCAAATGGCTGTAGAAGAGGGGAAATTATCATCTACAAACATTGGGCAGAAATTCCATCTGCCGCTGCCTCAAGAAGGGCTCTTAATAAATTCTGAGACAGCAAAGTGACACACATCTTAATCAAGACTTAATCCATGGAATTAATTCACTGCGCGTTTCTGCATAATTCCAAGAGTAATACTAAAAGCCATAGCAATATCAGCAGCAGATGGACTTCCCCTACTCCATGCAAAGGTATTAAAGAAAACACAACCCCTGTCACATCACTTCATGTACATACACATGGCAAAAAGCAACAGGGCTGTGCCCTGCTGCTGCCAGGAGCTTATACAGCCGGTGGGCATCAGAGGTCAGGCTTGCTGTGAGGTAGAAATAGAAAGCAGACTCACAGCAAAAACATAGCCCCTGCCACTTCTCTCTCACAGAAGTCCGGAGGGAGGCAAAGGTCTGGGATACTGGCACCAGGTCCGTTTGTTAGATACTGCTTTTGGAGAGCACTGATTGAGGCCAGTGTAGAGATGGATTCATCAGAGCCTGAGAAAGGCTGGGGATGGAGGTCAAACGAAGGGGAGAGCGAGGGAAACTGCTGGGGGGTTGTGAGTGACATCTGCTGCAGAAGCCAGGCAGATAACCATTAGAAATGGCTCCCTGCCCTCTCACCACAGCCTGGAAAGCATGCTGCAGGTATGGGGGTCAGCCTTGCTAAGGGCCCTGGCAGCAGCCCTGCTCAAATTGACAGGAGGTTTTAGACAGCTCTGAAAATACATTCTTAGTCACTGTCATCCACCTCCAAAGGAGGTGCAACAGCTATGTGATTAATCTCTTGTTTACATGTCTAAATGCTAGTGCAGTCCAGATGAAATACTGCCTTCAGCAGGCTGCCTCCCTGACACACATGGATTTGAGGGGCCAGGCAATCCTTCACCAACTAGAATCCAGACTTCACGACTGACAACACCTGGTCCAAACCCCCCTAAACCCAGGGATCCCAGATCCAGGCATGGTGCCTCAGCTGCTGTTATGTTTTAGAGAGGCTCCTTAGCTGGGAAGTTATTAGCTGGAGTGACTGGAGCTTCAGGAGCTGCTGTGGTCCCCTTGAAGCAGTCCAGCCTCTACAAACTTTTACACCTGCATTGGTAGCAACGCATCGTCCTGTATGTGGCAGGGTTATGACTTGAAACTCAGATTGAGGGCTAACACAGGGCCAGCTCACCCTTCCAAGGTGGTGTGGCTGGGCTTGTAGCACCTACTGCTTCATGCCTGCCTCTTCATGAGTGTCCAAGTGTGGTCAAGAGCAAAGCAGTGCTCTTGGCTGAGTTCTGGGCAATACAGGTGGAGGGTGCAGTGGCCTTGAGGAAGACCATGATGAGAACAATTGATCCTGGGACAGAAAGACGTGGAAAGAGGTGGTAGAGGAGTCCCAGTGGTGCCTGTAGTGGTGCCACCAGCTCACCAGCAGGGATGCTTTCAGCCATGGTAGGTGACTTACAGGCACAGGATAGTCACTCGAGGCTGGCCTTCAGCCAGGATGACCTAAGGCTGGAAGTGAGCTGGTGCTGCAGCCCGGATCACTCATTCCCAGGCACCCAAGGGTGTGTAATGTGATTCCCGTGTTAATTCAGGCTCCAGAGATCCTTATGTACCCTGAAGGAATCGACTTGCACTGCCTGGGTCCCAGCTCGAGGTAGTGGCTGTGCAGACAGACGTGCCTTCCTATCAGTGCCAGGCACAGGAGTGCTTTTCTTTTGGGATGAGTGCATGTACATCTGCATTAGTGCTGTATGGACAGCGTTACTTGGGCTTGACCGGTTTGTGGCGAAGCAAGGGAGAAAGAGGAGGGAAGCTGAGCAGGGAGGATAGGAGAAGCATGGGGAAGCAGCACCTGGGGAAGGTGCTAACAGCCCTCGACTGGCCCAGAACCACTTCCTCAGATCTCCATTACACAGCATGCTCCTGGTGTTGCTATTTCAGTCTGAATGTCACCTATAAATTGCAGGCTCTTTCTCTGAAGGCTGCAAATAGAAGTGTCACTAGATGATCTTTGATTTATAGGGAAGCTCAGCAGAAAGCCTGGCATGTCCATTTTCCAGCTAGGAAACTCTAAGGGGTCCAAGGATGACACAGGGATCCTTTGCTTTTCCTAGACCTTTCCTGAAGGGTTGGCAAGTCCCTCCCAGAGGAGGTAGGGAGAGGTCACACAAGATATCCATCTCCCTAATCCCTCTGTGTCTACTGCTTTTTCAGATTCCACCTCTTCTGCCAGCCATCCCTGCCCCATGGATTTCAACCTGCTGGCAGATGCGGAGGCACGCAGCCCAGCCTTGTCTCTCTCAGACTCTGGAACCCCTCAACACGAGCACAGCTGCAAAGGACAGGACCACAGTGGTGAGTGCAAGGCTCAGCATGCAAGAGAGGCTCCAACCTGTCCTTGCAGGTGGATCCAGGTGGCCAATGGCTTGCAGGAGCTGGATGTGGTGCTCCTGGGGAACCACTGAACTTGCTCTTGTACCATGAGCCAGCATGGTGCTGTGGCAGCACAGCATCCCAGCAATCAGGGGGAAGGTGCAGGGGTGTGTATCACAAGGACAGCCGTTGGGAAGGCAAGGGCTCCATCCCAGTCATCAGGTTGCCTGGGCCCAGGCAGGAAGCCACGGCAGGCAGGAGCTGGGCAAGCCGGGTCACTGTCCAACCAGGATTTCATTGTATATGCTTAAGCCAGGTCCCCAGAGCAGGAGAGCAATCCCGGCAACATGGGAGATCTCATCCTGGAAGGCTACACCTAGTTATAAACTGGCTTCGTTTTGTTTGATTGGTTTTTAAAAAAGCCTGTGCTTAAATTGCTTAGGTTGAAACTTTCCGTGTTACAGATTAACCCTGGGCTGAACTTCCCGGGTTTAGGCAATAAGGAAGAGAAGTACTGTCTTGCCCCTGCTTTAATTGAAGCAGCCTGCTTACCTGTGCCTTGGTGCAAGGCTCCACAGTGAGCTGCTGCTGTCCCAGGGAGGTGCCTCTGACCATTCCCAAAGGCTGAACATACCCCAGGCCTACCACATTCTTTATCAGGCTCTGAAGAAGGAACATCACCATTCACACCTGGCTCAGAAATCAGCTACCAAACACTATGGCTTCCCCTGGATTTTGCATCTGTCCTGTGACTGCTTCATCCCTTGTTACTCTGGGTGCCGCAGGACAACACAAAGCTGCCAGTGCCAGCATGAGAGGAGGTGAGGGCTGTGGACAGCCTGCTGCTCCCCGTGTAAAGCCTTCAGGCTCACCCGCATGCAAAAGCTAATAAGCATAATGATGCAGATTAAAATTCCCCAGAGTAAGTATCATGAAGGGAGTTAGGCTGGAATAACTATGGTCAGAGAATCTGCCCGCCGAATTCCCCGTTGCCCACATACCTTAGTTGGGCACATCCCCAGCCAAGCTCAGTGGCTCCTCATCAGCTGCTTTGGATGCATGGCGGTCATCCCCATTCAGGTGGCCTTCACGATCAAGCCTACCCTGGCACGCCGCAGAGCTGCCAGTTTAGGAGCTGACTTTTTTTTCCATTAGGCATGAGCAGCTAATTCCAGCTATGACCACAGTCGTTTCATTGAGTGGGTGAACGTGCGCAAGATATATTCCACAGTCTATTTTGGGATGACAATAAAATGCTGGGTGCCTGGCTACATCACTCCCCACTGCCTTGGTCTAGAAATAAAATGGTTCTGGGAGGTGGGTGTCTGCCAGCACTACCTGCACAAAGAGGCTGGTGGGCACTGGTGTCAGGCAGAGCAGAGCACACCACCAAGGGCTGGCCAGCCCAGGACAGGGCAGGGCTGCACTTCTGGCACTTCTTGCCTCTCTTCTCTCCTCCTCTCTTTCATTCATCTGCAGTGTAAGAGATCCTGAGGAAGGGAGTACAAACCTTGCTTGTGTGGGCTCAGCTGTCTGACTTCCCAAGTACTTTCTGTGATGTGGTGTGGTGTGTGACACCCCCTTCCATTAGGTTTCATCAGGCAGCACAGGTCAGCAGAAGAGCAAGGATGAAGTAGGATGTGGTGAGAATCTGCCCTGCATCTCCCTATATTCTGCTTCTCAATATGGATTCAGGACATGGAAAAGGCCCATCGTTCCTCCAGGGTCCTGTTTTTCCCTGTGTTACCATGCTTCTGGTCCCCATTGCAATGCCCAAGCTCTGCACCATTTGCAGAGGGCACTTTTCCCCTGCCTATAGAAGAAGCAGAAACAGAGATGATGCTTCCTATAAGCAATGCTCAGGAAGAGCAACAGGTAGCAGGTACAGAAATGGAAATCAAAAAGAAGAATGTGTAGCTGCAGAGATTTTTCCAGGTTCAAAGTCAGGACTCCTTGGACTTCACAAGATTTATGAAAAGTTCTACACCAGAAGGCATAGAGAAGAGCAGTAACAAAGCAAGATACTTGGTGAGCTTATCCACCCAGTTGCAGCCCATAAGCCAGTGATACCTTTGCTCCATTTTCCTCCCCCCTCAGTGTAGTTTCTTCCTGCAATGAAGAAGGGCAGTCCTTCTTCATCAGGAGCTCCTGATGAAAGCACAGCCTCTGTTCCGCAGCAGCCCCTTTGGAAACGCACATTTGTCAGGGGCTCCTGTGGGAACATCTCCTGTGTGCATCAGGCTCTTAATTAACCCAGACTCAGCAGATGAACAAACAAACCAAATGTTGTCTCTTCATCTGTACTGAGCCATTTCTAATAACTAGCTCAGACGCCGTAGCATCACTCCGCTTTTAATCTGTTTTAAAGATGGATAATGCAGGAATCTCCCTCTTCCAACACTGGCTTAGAGCAGTGAGCTGGAGGAATCAGATTTATCTCATTGGCAAGAACCACTATAGAAATGGCTCTTAAAAAGTAAAGAGCATTCTTCCAAGAGTTCTGCTGAACATGCTGTGATGGGATCCCCACGCGAAGATGCTCATGGGAGCAGGGAGAGTATGAGACCAGAGCCAGCTCACTCTCCTTGCATTAGCTTTCCTGCTGGTGGATAACATTAACTGTGCCACAGAAGCGGAGGTGGCTGGTGGGACCATGTGGGGAACCCACATTGCTTCAGTCGGTGCGATGCATACCCATAGAAACAAACCCTTTCTGACTGCACCTTGCTGTCCTTCATGAAGAATGTGTGCCTCTCCTGCAAATGCTCCCTGTGACTCCAGCATTGTTCCTTTGGGAGGAGGGCAGGGAGGGTTTTCCCTGGAACAGCAGGAAGAGGTTCCTGAATTACAGGACAGGATGGTGGCACCAGGTTCCTGAGGCACGAGGTTCTCTCGGGGCTGGGCTCCATTAAAGCACCTGCTGTTGGGTACAGCACAGCCCTGAAGCAGAGTCCCTTCTCTCTTGGGGCTCAGATGCTTTTCAGCCTCTCCCTTTAAGCTTTCTCTTTTCCATTTAGCTTTCATGGGGCATATTTTTCCAGCGCATACCTGTCTGACTTGAGGAACTCTTTTATTTTTCTTCACCCAGCTGTATTCCAGGTTACTGTTTTCTTGCCTCCCTGCTTTTTAAGGGGCTGTATAGACTTTCCATGTTAGGATTTTTATGGACTTTGAAGCCTTTTAAGCTAGCTTCCACTTAAAAATTCCAACCAAACAATAAATACTTTTAGTCTGAATCTCAGCAGAGTGATGGCAGAATTTTTTAAAGGTTTTTTTCCAGGTGCAACAGTTTGGTAACTTTGCAGTAATTTCTACTTAGTTTAGGTGAGTATTTCCCACTGTAAAATAACACCTCTCCCCCCCCAAAAAAACTGATTTTCAGTTGGAACTGCTTCACTGTGCTTCTAGATCAGAGGAAGAAGATGGTGAACATCAGAAGCTACCTATTTTCTCCTGAATAAAGTAGTTCTGTGGTGACTTACCTTGGTTCCCAGCAGAATTAAACACAAGCTGTATCTTTCCTCCCTATAGTTGTCCTCCATTGTTCAAGTGCTCAAATGTGACATTTTCTTTTGACAATGGAAGATATTTATATTTGCCTTGTGCCCTTTTGCAGAGTACTGACAGCCCCAGGAGGGGCAGAGGCACAGGGAAGTACCTGATGCCTGCCTCCAGCCACAGCAGCCCAAAGCTCAGAGTTAAGGCCTGGGTTTAACACCTAGGAGGAGGCTGAACTCTACTTTCAGTTAGATACCAGTTGAACACTGGAGAGTTTCAGGATGTTCAGTGAAGGGCCACAAAATGAAAGATACTGCTTCTAGGAGGGGGATCTAGGAGGGTGGGGTGGAAGGACAGGGAGATGCTAGAGTACTTCATGGTAAGTTCTAAGAGAGGCCTTTTCCTACTTTTAAGAAATGGATGTGCACCCAAGTAAGAAGGTAGAGGAGTAAGAAGGGAGGAAGGACAAATTAACTAAATCTGAGAAGCATGGATTTTTAAGAGCCTCAACCCGCTATCATTGGCAGTTTGCCTTTTCCCATTATTTGTCCTCAAAACCTCTATGGATCTTTTGCTGTGTCGTAACTGCCAGTTTCTGTTCACTTTTTCTGAAGGGCACCTAGGCAGAGTAAGAACCTGCTGGCCTGGGTAAGTTCTGTCACTATCTTCTATCATAACTGTGACCAACGAAAACCAGAGCCTGGAAGCCTAGGAGATCCAAATCCAATCACTTGGAAGCTGACATCCATTACAGCAGTTAAACAAGAGCAAGCTGTGCTGCAGCAAGGAGCTGTTGATTTTGGTGCAGGGTGGATGCCTGCTCACAAGGGCAAAGGAGGGAGATGAGACCACTCCTGTAGGTGCCGCTGGAGCTGCTGGTAGGCACAGCAGATGGGGACATGGCATGCACTGGCTGCCCCAAGGACAGGCTCTCCAAATGCATTCAAGCCTCCAAGTTAACTCAGGAGATCTCTCCCATCTTTCTGTTTCTCGCAGACACTGAGAAGTCCCAGCAAAACCAGACGGACGACTCCAACCCTGAAGACGGCTCACTCAAGAAGAAGCAGCGGCGGCAGAGGACGCACTTCACCAGCCAGCAGCTCCAGGAGCTGGAAGCCACTTTCCAGAGAAACCGTTACCCAGACATGAGCACCAGGGAGGAGATTGCAGTCTGGACCAACCTGACGGAGGCACGAGTGCGGGTAGGACTGCAGCCCTCCCAGCATCCTGGGCCTCATCTGGTGGGGAGGAAGCCAGCTCTGATACAAGCCGCCAAGTTCTCCACAAACCAAGGAAGGAATTAGGGGCGCCAGAAAATTTCCTATCTTAGAAACACCTCACCAAGCTCTAAAATTTGACACATCAGCCACATACATACTCCATGCTGGTGGTGTGTCCCCATCAAGTGCCACCTTGCAAAAACACAGAGAGATGCAAAGTCCAGGGTCTGCCCCACAGAATCCCACTAGCTGCTGCCCTGACCTAGCAGACACCTTCCTTGCAGTGCCATTGTCCCCCAGCCTTAGCTTTGTTGGAGGTCACTCTTTGGGGTTCCCAAACCACTGTGCGGTCACAGGCATAGCGTGGCAAAGCTCCAGCTGGAATCAGAGCTTCTCTCTGCTACTAGAAATATGAGTTAGCAGCACCATCAATAGCCTTCCAGCAGCTTCCATGCTCTAGGAAGTTACATTGTTTGAGTCACTCCAACACCAACAGATTTTCCTGTTAGAAGACAGACTTCCAACACCTCACCCCAAGCTGGTCCTGAGGTGAAGTCAAAACAAGAGAGGTTATTTACTCCACTCAGCAGCTCTCAAATGACATCCCCCAAATACTTTGCTCGCAAGTCACACAAGTTCCTCCTGGGCTGTGGTCACTCAGAAATACAGCAAGTATTTTCCTCCCTTTTCCTCATATAAAGGGCATCCGTTGGTTGAGTGAGGTGGGTTATTCTTTGGGTTGTAAAATGGCAGTGGTTGGCTTTGATCAAGGTGGTGATTTTTGCTGGGAGATGACCCTGCAGCTCAGACATCTTGCTTCAACCCTTACCTCATGCTCAGTCTCCCAGCTCCCGGGGAGCATCCCCAGCCCTACAACAGCTCTTGCCTTGCTGGGCAAAGAGACCAGGGCAAGGCCCCTTCCAGGGACAGCCTGGAGTGATTCCCATCTCCTCCCTCTCTCTCACAGGTCTGGTTCAAAAACCGCAGAGCTAAGTGGAGGAAACGGGAGAGGAACCAACAGGCCGAACTGTGCAAGAACAGCTTTGGAGCACAGTTCAATGGACTGATGCAGCCTTACGATGACATGTATTCCAGCTATTCCTACAACAACTGGGCCACCAAGGGGCTCACCACCAGCCCACTCTCAGCCAAAAGCTTCCCATTCTTCAACTCCATGAACGTCAGTCCCCTCTCCTCCCAGCCCATGTTCTCCCCACCCAGCTCCATCACCTCAATGACCATGCCCTCATCCATGGTCCCTTCTGCAGTGACCGGAGTACCGGCTTCCAGCCTCAACAATCTGGGAAACATCAACAACCTGAATAGCCCAAGCCTCAACTCTGCTGTCTCATCCAGTGCCTGTCCTTACGCCTCAACAGCCAGCCCCTACATGTACAGGGACACATGCAACTCCAGCCTGGCCAGCCTGCGGCTGAAGGCCAAGCAGCACGCTAACTTCACCTACCCGGCAGTGCAGACAGCAGCTTCCAATCTGAGCCCTTGCCAATATGCCGTAGACAGGCCCGTATGAAGGGCTGCCCTCCGCCAACCAGGGACTTGACCTTAGCCTGACAAAAGGAGACCTTTAGCCCTACAACAGCGTACGTACTGCAGAGAATGAGAGTGAACGCAGGAGAGCAAGAGAGTGAGAGAGCAAGAATGAGAGGCGAGCAGGCAGACGGACCTTTATGAAGATTTGTCTAACTATCGTATGGTGAATTTTGACTGTCTTTCCCTTCCCAAACCCCTTCTCCTCTTTGCCCACCAAACCTTCTCCTTTGTGGTAAAGAAACCAAAACAGTCTACTGGAAGCCCTATGGGGAAATAGGAGCCCCAACGCGTAGGGTGCCTGACCCACGGGCAGCAGAATTGAATGTGTTTCTATCTGCCCCTCTGAGCCCCACAGGGCTAATGCCACCCCTCGAAGGAACAGCTAGGAACAGGGCAATGCAGGCTGCCATTCGGTGCTTGGATGACCCCTTCTCCCTGCACACGTGCAAGATTTCAGATGGAGACATCTTGCCCACATATTTATCACACAGCCAGTAAAGAAAGCCTTGTCTCAGTCGGTTGGCATCATTCTTTATAATGCATATATACACATAGCCCTTCAGACTTGAAGCCTTTAGGACCTGAGAGTTGTAAGAATATGTGTGTGTATATATCTCATATATATACAAATACATATATAGACATTAAAACATGCTTTTTTGTTCTGTATATGAAATAATTTACAACGTAGACCTTAAAACCAAAAACCCCATAAAGCAAGCACATCCACTGAGGCAATGTCCTGCCTGTCATGCTTTACTGCTTCAGTCATTTCCAGTCAGACAGGAACACTTTTGCCAGTGTACATCCAAAGCATCCCCTTTTGCAACGATCAGCTACCCCCTGCATATCTTCCCTTACTTTCCCTTCTCCAAATCCCATTTCCAAACAAGGTAATAAAATAAAAGTTGGCACAATCCCTTTAAGGCATCTGCCTGTCTGGTTATTGAGAGCATGAACCTGCGTCTGAAGACTCTGAAATAAAGTGCCAGCAGCCCAGGCGGGAGCGAGCATCCGTGGGAATATCAGCACAAGGAGGCCTGAGGTTTGGAGGAGCCATCTCTGTTCCTCACTCACAAATGAAACACTTGATCGTGCAGGACAGTAAAAGTCACAGTCACAGCTTGAAGGGGAAACCAAGCCTCCCCCCCCCCCCCCTCCCTGTCTGCATGCACCCACTGCAGCAGGAATGTTGAGCCTCTCCTGGCTCAGGTTTCCCCACCGTGCTGGATGGGGCTAGTGCCTTTGGGCTCCTGGCAGCCCAGGACAGGGAAGTGCCTCCAGGCACTCCTGCTCCAAAAAGCCATTCCCAGGGGAGAGACCAGCTGCAGCAACCTGCCCTGCTATCCTGTCCCGCTGCTAGCCTGCCTTGGTGCAATTTCTGCTGGGAAAGCTGTGAAATCAGTGGTTCTGTGGAGATGTACAGCACTATGGGATCCTGCTGCTTCAGCCAGTGTGGAGGGATGCAGCTGGCTGCTCCAAGGGCCCAAGGAAGCTCCACAGGTAGGAGGGGAGCAGGACATCCCTACCCGGTGCAGCCTCCTTTCTCTTCACCAGGCACATGCTCCAAGGGGAAAGCACAGTCCTTATATTTTACTTTCCTCTCAGGAAAAACAAAGCCAAAAACCCACCAACACAGGAACCCCAAAACCCAATACATCACCACGACAAACTATCTTACTTGATTGAATGGGACAAGCAAACCCAGTATAAACTAGGTTTATATGTTCTTATCATGCAGAGAGGAAGAAAGCTCTTTGCTCAGAAGGGATCCTCACTAGAACATAGTAAGAGATTCTTCACAAGCAAAGCATATGAACCACTCAATCCTTGCCAAAGACTGTTCCACAGGGAGCAGCTGCTGCTGAAGGTATTGGTGAGCAGATGCTGAAAGCAGCCACCGTTAGTCCAACTTCACTGTAACAAAATTATTCTTTACTCTGAGCTAATCCAAAACAAGGGAGCCAAATTACCCTGCACTGAAACAGCTATCACTGGAAACACAACCCTGTGTGCAAAGGGCACTCAAAGATCAAGCATAAACATCTAAAACACAGATGTAGCACATCTAAGACAAGACCATTCATTGTAACCTGGATTGTACCTTGCCACTGGGAGCCAGTGCTACTGCTCTGAGCTGGAGCCTCCATCTAGCAGCCTTCCCACCAAACACACACATCATCTTAGTACTACTGTGCTTAACTCCCTTTTCTGCCATTGCTTTTCCCCAAAGAAGGAAAGGCCTGGGTTCCTCTCTAATGTCCTCTCCTCCACTGAGCATGTCTCAGCGTAGTGCAACTCCTCCTGATAACCCAACACAGGCATCCTGCCCCCTGACCCCGTGCTGATTTCAAGCATATATGGGAACATGGCAAAGCGAGAACAAGCATCTCTCATAAAGATGCAACTTTACCTGGAGAAGCAATTGTAAGGAGACCCAATCTACCTTTACTCCTGAGTGATGTGTCTATGGAGGGAAAGAAAATTCTCTCTTTTCTCCCCAGCTGAAGCCAAGAGCAACAGAAGCTCCTCTTTCCCTTTTAACTGGCTCTAGTAGCTGTGCTTTGCCTTGAGCAGTTTCTGTGCAGCTTTTGTTGCTCTCCATATTGATGCAATGCTTGTGAAGATCCTCTACTTGTCTCACAGAGAAGGTGAGGCTCAGCTGTGCTGGGGGTGTACAAGGCTGGCTGCTGCTGATTGTTGCAGGGTTCAGCTGATGAAAGATTCGCCCAAATGTACAGAGCAGAAGGCCAATTTCAGCACATGGTCCTCATGATCTCCTGTTGCAGCCAGGGGGGGAAGAGTCAAGACCTAGCTTAGGTACTGATTTTTCAGCCCAAGGTTTTCGATGAAGTCGTTTGAATTGATGTTACCCCTGACCAGCCTGATTTCTGAGCAGGGCAGACTCAGTCACTACGCACATGAGGCAGCTGGTGCATGTGGCCAACGGCTCTGCTGGCTGAATAGTTGGTTCAGGTTTCTTTTTCCCAATTCTGTATGGAGAAGATGGTGGGGTCTGTTTCTGTGGTCAACGTCATTGCACCATGTAGGATCCAGACCAGATGGTGAACCACACACCAGCTCTGAGCTGAGAGTGCTTTGTACAATGGCTCCAAATAAATGACACAACCTCCAGAAAACCTTAAATGTGCAGACACCAGAGATGGCCAACAGCAAACAACGATATGAGCAAGTTGGCAGCAGAGCTCTGGGAGAGGTCCTCTGCTTTCCAAATGCACCTGCCTTCCTAATGCAGCTGAGCCAGTACAGCCTCCCACATTTTGGCTTCCTCCCCATGGGTCCAGGACATGGACATCATGCTCTCTGGTCCAGCACAAATATAGCAGGTGTCCTACAGACTTTCTCAGGAACTCTCACAAGTCACCAGTACCTCCCTAGCTGTACCTCCTTGGCACTGCAACCCAAGCAGGTGGTTTTTAGCAGAGTCTTGCTTGTTCTAAAGACCTGCTAGGCAAGCAACTTTGCCACTGGATATGTCCCAGTCTGCAGATTTAGCAAGTGCACATTCTCCTCCATCATCCAGGACATTAATGGAAATGCTGAACAAAACTAGACCCAAAACAGATGTCCTTGAACTTCACTCAGCAGACCCCTCTGTTTTCAACTGTGAACTGTAGATAACTTTCTGGGTATAATTATCCAATGGGTTTAGTATCTACCCAATATCCCATCTACATCATCCTTAAAACCCACTTAAATAGCAGCCAGGACTCTTCACTATGCTATTACCCTGCCATAGAAAAAGATCAAAACAAATTCTGCTCTTGACAGATCCTTATGGCCCCTGCTCATCTCCACTGCTTACAAGTAGCGAGATTCTTTGTGTCAGCATTTTTGGGGGGGGTGGGTGGATGGGTTGAAGGATTTAACTGGCAGCAGTTCCTGGCTTTTGACCCCAGTTCCCATTTCAAAGGAGGGGTACAAAGCTTGCATTTTACAGTCTTCCCATGCCGCAGTGTCCTGCAGTAGCTCTCCCAGATAACAGCAACTATTTCTGGGGTTGCTTTGCATGATGTTCACCACGCCCAGTCGATCTGAAAAAATTCTGTTTATCTAAGTACTCTCTTACTTGGGCTTTCCTTATTCAAGGCTCAGATTTCTAGCCCCCATCACCTGCAGGGCCTGCGCTGTCCATTTCCCCAGTGCAGAAGTGTACCAAAGAGTGGCTGCTCCCAGTTTTTTCACCTCTGCTGAAAAGCAGCACAGCACCATCCTTGGTTATTCTCTTACTAATGGAGACTTGCTCTGAGCATGCTTGGTGCATGCTACCTGTAACCACGGTCCCTCCACCACAGAGCGCCGAACCGCAAACTCCCCTCACCGCCGCGCCGCACCGCACCTTCCTCCTGCGGCAGCGGAGCCAGCGCAGCTCCACACGCGGCTCCCTCCGCGCAGCCTGTGGCGGCCGGTGAGCTGGTGTCACCTAGCGGCTGCCGGCACCCAGGGCTCCCCAGCCCGGCTGCTCCTGCTCTCGTAGCCTGGGGCTCCCTTGCCCCTGGCCCTTGAAGTCTTCCTCTGTGCGGCACGTCCGCTGCCCAGCCTGTGTCAGAGCTGCAGGGCTTCTCCCGTGCTCCCTGCATCCTGCCCGCATCCCCTCGGCCGCCTTCAACGGGGATCACGGCTCCCAGAGAGCAAGGGCTCTAGCACAAGAGAGGCACTAATTGCTGTCCATGCCCTCAAAGTACAAAAGAACAAAACCAGACTAAAACTCAAAATACCTCCCCTCCAAAACTGTCCTGTTGGCTATTGCAGTTCACCAACGGCACATTAAGAAGGACTTTTCGTCACAGAGCACCAGGAGAAGTCATTTCCACAAAGCTACAGGGAAATAGCACTGACCTGGGGAAGGACAAAGTTATTAGGTTCCTGAGCCCCACCAAGCACCACTGTTTTCTTCACATCCACAGTTCAGCTCTCCAGATGTCTTGCTAAAGAGCAGCAGCAGCAAAATAAAACACAGGAGAAATCAAAGTCTTCCCCTGCCTAGGTCTGGTAGATTTATTGTTATTTCTTGTTTAGCCAGAGAGAACAGCAGAGTGAAGGGGCTGATGCTGGGCCCATGGCACACATTCCCTGCGGAGGGCACAGAGCAGGCAGGGAATGGCAAGTCCTGGCAGCATTGGAAAGGGGGTACCCTCATTGTGAGAGGAGGGATGTGGCCGTTTAAAAAGCTGCAACACCATTTGGAGGGGGTGAAAGAGTCCCTACAAGACACTCTCAGCAAACCCTCCTTCTTCTGGGGTGATTCCTGCTCCATGAAAGATACTTCCCACCCCAGCAGCCTGCACAGCTGAACTGGAAGCAATGATCTCTTCCAGAGGTGAAGCTTTCTGGGGATGCGGAGCCCTGCTTCCAGTGCCCTGCTCTGCACCACGGAGCATCGCCTCTGAAGGACCAAGAGCACGTCAAGCAGTTTAGGCAGAAAAGAGTAAATGTGGAAAGACCACTTCATTGGTGCTCTTCCAAATGCCTGCCGCAGCTTGGGGAGCACTGCTGGGGCAGCCAAAGGCACAAGTGAGGAGAGAGGTGGTGGCTGCCTCACCCGGACCACGGCTGTCATAGCAAGTGCCCCAAATAGCACCATGCAAGAGAGAGGTACTCCCATGTGCTTACCATCACCTCTATAAAGAGGACTTCCAAACGTGGAAGCTAGTTTATTCCTCTTTCCCAAACACCATCACCTCAACAGCCTGCTTATGCATTTCCCAAAGCTGGGGAAGGCCCTGTGATTGTTACTTGTGTTTTACACATCGGAGCACAATGGAAGCCATTGAGTGATTTCCTTGCCCAAGCACTATAAGTTTTATTAGAGCTTAGGATAATGCCCTGATTCCATATGTCCTTGGCTGCAGAGAATATGATTTCTCCACCACACTGACCACACTGTGAAAACAGCAAACAGTCTTTGGATTC